CTGTACACAGACTTATGTTATTTTGCTTAAAAGAGCAGTGAAGCTTTTAATAGGAATTTCAATGCAAACACCAAACTTAGAGTTTTTGAAGTTGTTTTGACTTCTTTTATTTCTGAATAAATCTTTAAATAGATTATAAAGAAATCTCTGTTAAAATTTGTTTAGAATTATTATTATTTCTTTTAGATTTAACATGCTATTTTATACTTTATCTAAAGCATATAAATAAAATATAATAAAAGACTAATTCTCTTACGAGAAACTACTAACGATATGGAAAATCTAGTGTTTAGAACGGCCTTAATTCTTCCTGGCAAAGACTCAACAAGATGTTTGAAACATTCCCCAGAGATTTTGATCCATGTTGACTTGGCAGTGTCACCTAGCTGGTGAAGATTTGTTTGGCTTCATATCTATAATGAGAATCTCCCATTGTAACACATCACAAAGGTCTTGTTTTTGTTTTAGCCCATTTGTTTAGAGATTTGATGTGCCGTAGATGTATTATGTTTAGAAATTGTATACTGCATATCTGTCGTAATGAGTGTATTTTTGACCCCTTTGCTCCTGAGAGTCAGAAGCCGAGGTTCTTAACCTACAGAATGGTGGCCAGAGTAGGTCTCTCCCTCAAGTGGAGGCAAGATTCAAGCATCTTGGCATCTTGTTAATAAGTGATGGCAGTATGGAGCAGTATGGAATGGACAAACAGACTGGGACCCACTCTGCAGCAATGTAGGTGCTGCTCCGGTCTGTTGTGGTAAAAAAGACAAAAAAAAAAAAAACTGTAAAAAAGTGAAGGTCTCGATTTCTCAACCTGTCAAGGCTCAAACTCTACCCTGTGGTCATGACATATAATCATAACCAAAGGAACAAGACCTTGTAAACAAGTGGATGAAATGAGCTGTGACCTCTAACATGAACAAGAAATTTTGAGCCAGACAACTGCATCTCTGGATGTTTTTTCTCCTTTTTTGGGGGAGGTGGGGAGTTCTCTGTAAACTCAGAAGATAGTTGAGATGAACATGGCTATCAACTGTGCATGGGATTAACACAATGGGATATTTAAAATCACCTAAATCCCTCTCTCTTCCATTTTGTTTGGACAGTTTGAACTCTGGAGTGTCCATGTGAGTCAATGGTTTGCCCTTTTTGGCTGTAAATACTCCTGGCTAAATTGTTTAAATTAATAATTTTTATTTGAAAATGTAACAAAATATGAATTAAATTATCCTTCACAAATTAGAAAATGTGTATGTGGTTTAAAATACGAATCAAATTTATTATGTAATTCTCACCAATAGAAAATATTTTATTTGTATCACTATGATTAAATAAAGGTTCTTTGGAAAAACATAACTCATTGGGGAAGCTGCACTTGGAAGCAAACCAATGCAATGAAACTCAAATAAAGGGTGTGCACTATACAGCTGAATCAAAGTTTGCAAGTGAGGATGTGTGCACATACCCCTATTACCCCCTATAATTAAATAAAAAGGCAAATGTACCTTGCAATCATGCTCAAATTCCCCTCCAAACACACACATGCAGACCAATCTCTCTGTTTCATCAGCAAACTCAGCAGGAGGAGTATTAGCTATAACAACACTGTCTCTCCGGTTTTCTGTCTTTCAGCCCCTGCAGGCTCTACTGTCAAAGAATCAGAGCTCAAGTTCCAGAAAGTGATTTATATCATTAGGCAAATGAGATGTGTGAGCCCTTCAGCAATGCTGACTAAGTTACCACTTTCCACTGCCTCAAATTGTCTATGTGGCCATGCCGGTAACCAGACATGGAGGATACCCGTTTTTCGCATGAATGCAGCTCTGCTAATAGGCCTCCAAACATATGTAGCATGTCTGATTCAATAAAGTATCTAAACACTTCAGAGTGATGAGCTGGTGGTGTCAACAGCTGTCTCCATCACCCCTTGCTCAAATTGGCTTCCGCCGTGCCACCTGATCAATGCACTTGACCATCACACAATGAGCCAACTCTTTTCTTCTCCCAGTACAATGTCAACTGCAACCATGCCACTTCTGAGCCTCTTAAGCTTTACTCAGTCCTGAGTTTTACATCTTTCACCAATAAAAGCAGTGCAAGATGGCCTTGTAGATAAGTATAGGAAAAAAAATAAACAGACTGAAAAAAGAATGACTAATATTTTTTTTTTCCCTTGTAGCCCCTTTTCAGCGTTTTGATTTTTAACCTGCTGTTTTTAACCTTTCTGCCTGCAGGGTCACCGTCAGGGAGGGTGTGAGCTGAGGAAAGTGGCACCCCACGCACCCGTGCCTGCTGACCACCTTCAAGCTTTAGCATCCGTCCCTTTTCCCGTCTTCCTGCTAAGCTTCAAACATGGCTCTGGCGATCTGGATCATCCTCAGCTCTTTTGTGGCTTTTAGCAACATTGCCCCTTCCTCTCAGGGTAGGTTTTTATCTCTGTGGTATAATATTTCTTTTAGAGTGTTCTTCTTTACAGATTTCTTCTGTTTTTGCTTCTTTTTTTGTGTCACACACTTAAATGTTTTACATAATCAAACATTGTTTAATACCAGATAAAAAATAGTAAATTAAAAGTGATGTTTTTATATTAAGGATTGTTTTTATATTGACAATCATACGTGGGCATACGTGAAAATGTAATGCTTCCTCTGTCATCAATCATATGTGATAAGTGGCAATGAGTCCTTTATATCTACTGAGAAATGTTTTTTCTCACTTGGCTTCTTTGCAAAAATAATTTTCATTTAGCCAAGTTGTGAAGTTCTCTCTGTGTTAAGATCGTGTTACAGCATCTGAATCAGATTTAAGTCTTTCACTTTGACTAGGTCACTTTGAAGCCCTTAAATTGTTTATTTTCGAGCTATTTAGATGTGGACTTGCTGTTTCTGATCAATATGTAGCAGCATAACCCAAGTGCACTAAAGTTCAAAAACCGTTGATCAGATATTCTGGTGGTATTGGTCATGCAGCGCTCTCCCACACATAACATTTCAGCTCAGTTTGTTTCTTTATGAACTGACCTCACTGATGTGAGACTTAGGGCCTGTTTGGTTTTACTAACTACTTAACGCCTTGATAATTGGACGTCTTACTTGAAAACTGCTTTTTGTGTCTGTTTCAGTTTTCTTTGACATCAAGGCTTGTTCGAAACTGTAACATTTGGCAGTGACCAAATAGGAAAACACTCTGTCTACTGAAGTAAAAAAAAAAATAATAATAATAATAATAGTATTTATCTGCATTCAGAGCTTGCACTCACTTATTTGTTTATTTTTTTTAGGAAACAAAATGTGTTTCTAAGTACATATCGATTCCCCGACTTACCTCATAATGCTGGGTAGAAGCTCCTAAGCAATGTTCCCTGTTGCAGCTCTGACTGGATTATTGCAAATGAGGATGTAATATTTATATGTTAGCTGTTTGATGAAGGTTGTAAGCGTATTGACTTGCTGACCAGGCTAGAAGAGCTGTACTTCACTAACCGTTTCTCATATGAGACGAGGCCAAGATGTGTGCGCAAGGTGGGAAGTGATGTGAGAGTGTCAATAAAATTTCCTCGTCATCTTGCTGTGAGGTGGAGCGTGGCGAGAGAATAGGAGGGAATCCGTGCATGTAATGGTGCCATATGTGTGACCTCTTTGAATGTGCCATGTACCATGAGATATTGCATTTTCAGTGTGCGCGCGCGCGGGGCGTTGTAAGCTTGGCAGCAGGTGACCTGGCTGGGCTCAAGTAACGCTGGAGGGGTGTGTGTGTACATACGTGTCGGAAGATGCGTATGAGGGACGGAGCAGAGATTGCAGGGAGGACGAAGGGGGGGCTGTTGAGTGTCCTGCTAGTGGCCCACCACACAGATAGCAGCACACCATCTGCTCTATGCTCTCAGTCAGCTCTGTGCCAGCAGTCTGCTGGGTGACGGACAGCTAAGATGAGGAGGAGGGGCTTCAGCAAGACAGGGTCACCACATGGAGTGACGGCAAAGGAGGAGTTTAGGAATATGCAGGAGAGCGAGGGAGAGAGTGAAATTAAAATGTGTTTATGCCCACTTGTGTAAGTATTGGCTCCATCATTCTCTGATTTGGAAGCTTCATTTCTAATTTGAGTAGGTACTGTTCCTTCCATCTTAATTTGGCAGCTTTCTGGAAATTGGATTTGCATACATTCTGCTCGATTCCTTTTTGTCTTGTGGCACTATACGTGCACGGCTGTGAGTATTTGTGAGAAGATAAGCCTAAAATATCTGCATGACCTGGCTCTTCAGGACTATTAATAATGCATTAATAAATCAATTGAATATCATCCCTATTTAGCTCAGGAGCACAGGCACAGCATTTGGTTTGATGAAATTAAGATTTTATTTATTTTTATTTTTTAAATAAATAATGGCACATGCTCATGCACACCCACACTGTTGTGGTGCTCAGAATGTTGGCAGTAAAAATCTGGCAGAGATTCATTGTCTCTATTGTAGTGTGACCAGAGGAGCGGGAGAGAAATGGAAAAGAAAACAAGGGAAGTAGGTCCTAAAGGAAGGGAACGGGGTTTTGATGTGATGAGAGCTGCGGAAATCAGTCTCAGACTAATCAAAGCTCATTTGAAAAGCGACATGAGCATCACACATGGCTTCACTGTCTAATGTCTACTCCTGCTCTCCCTTGGTGCTCTCTCCAACTAATCTGCCAGGCTTTAACCCCACTTCGCTCCTGGCTGCACATTCTAATATTTACCACTAACTCTCACACATTTATTCTCCTCTTAAATCTGCTCTTTAGTAAAAATATCCCTAACCAGCATGAGCTTAGTGTGTGTTCTTCTTTTCCCACATATCCCGCCTTGCATCGTAAAAATATTTCCACTTAAATCACTGTAGTTCACTATTCTTCTTCTCAACATAGGGGCTCTGTGAAGAACATATTAGTAGCGCATACGACTGAGGAGAAGGGAAATGATTTGAGTTTTAAATTAAACAACGACGATCATTATTGATATTTTTAGTTATTATTATTTTTTCAATAATTTTGAAATTTGTGCCGTACATTTGCCAGTGCTTCTGAGAGCAGTATTTTGTGGCAAATCCTTTATAGTGCTTCTCTGCACCTTGTTATTTAATGGAAGTTTCTTGCTTCCTGTTATCAACTGTTTTTACGATTGAATTTGAATCATTGTAACACATCAAAAATCTCTGATCTACGCCATTTAATTTTAGCTCCGGCCGTATGTTCTGGGTTGGAAAATGATCCTCTGCCCCAATAGCAAAACATTTGTGTTTTTTTTATTTATTTATTTATTTATTTATTTATTTATTTATTTATTTATTTATTTGCCCCTTTGTTTCAAATGACAAATACAACCTCTTGTGACTATCCTTAAAGTTGACTCCCTTCCATCAGAGTCATATGTGAGCATAAATAATGGTTTTCTTGTCAACAAATTCTCCCCTGAGCAGTCAATTTCTCCAGCTCCCCCAGAGATACCACGGTCTTCTTGGTTTATTATTTCATCTTCATGACAGTATTTATTCACAAATGTTTTGTAAAACAAAAGCTTGACTCCTTCACAGGACAGCTGTAGTCCTCCATTGCTTAAAGGGCATCCAGGTACATTCTGCTCACTAATTTAGTAACTTCGCCAGGCAATTGGTTGATCAAAATCAAGCATCGTGCTTTCTGATGTTTACTTCAAAAAATATAGTATCCCACTACATAAACATGTCCTACTTTGTGGTAGTCTGTCACTTAAAATCCAAATGAAATTGATTCAAATGTGTGGAGGAAAAAAAAAGGGGCATTAATACTTTAAAGGGACTTTGTACCTTGACAAAGTGAATGTCGCACTGACTTAATGCTTGAGAATGTACCCTAGCTGATGCGCAGTGCCATTGATGTGAAAATCCATTAGGCTTGCTTAATGTGGCAGGCACGGGAGGCAGCTGTGCCGTACGTGATGAAGCCCTGACACAGAACTTTCAATTACAAAAGCAGCAGCGTTGGTGTAAACATGGCGGTTCGTATTTATGCGCACTGGTGATGGCAGGCATACTATTATAGGACTATTTGTATTTTCTTCCTTTCAGACCATAAATGTAATTTCGCAAACACTCCGTGTGCTGGGTATTTACATACACTGCTCGCACACGGGTGTGCAGTGACGTGAACACGCAGCCGACGAGGTGTGTGGGTCCAAGTGTGTGCTTGTGCCAGTTATAGGTTGATGCCAGTGCCAGCCGACTGGTTGAATCTGTTCTCATCTCCCCTGTATTTAAGCCTTTGCTCTAAGATCAGTCGTGTGGAAAGGCCCCTGGCCCTTAAGTGCACAGGCAGACATTTTTATCTGTCTAGCCCTCCACTCTCCTGTTTTTTTTTTTTCCTTCCCTGGCCCATTCCCCTGAACAGCGGCTATTATTTAAAGATGTGGGACTAGCTGTTTTTACACATCTTTTCGACAAAGTGCCTGCTCCCCCCAACTGTCTTTGGTCGGTGACATAATGTCTGGAAGCAGACTGATCCCAGTGTATTATTTTGCTCTCTGTAAGGCAGGGATGAGCTGCTATTATTCATTACGTGCCAGATGAAGAATTAATCACACCCTTGTAGAACATCACAATCCATTGAATCATAATATTAATATTTTGTAGAAGTGTCCTTCACAGAAATTGTGTATGCTAGTACACAATTTCTGTGGCCTGATCATTGGAGGCCACATAAAAATAAAAAAATAAAAATATACACTTGATCTACATTTTTTGGTGTTAAATTTGGCAAAGAATGATGAGCAGACTTTAATGAAGGAGAGGCAAGAAAATGGATGCATCATAATTGATATTGTAATTTTATTATCAAGCAATTGCATTGTTCTTCCCATGGCTAGCCAGAAGAGAAGTTAAAATTCAGAGAGACCAGAAACGCTGCCCTTAAGTAACACCGAGTATTGAATTTTATGTATATATATAAAAAAGGAAAGCAAAAAAAAGACTTTTCTTCTGGTGATAAAGTTTTTAACCTGTGACCTTCTCACAAATGCATAAGAATTGTGTCGCCAGCTGTATAAGAGCAATAAAACTTTGAGAAAAGTCAATAAAGCGGTTAGGCTCGTAAACTTACTGCGTGCACTCGGGTCCATCGAAAACCTTATTGCATTACTTATGTTGTAAAAACTCACAGTTGTGCATTTTTCTTTGGACACATCTGAAAAACTGTCACTGCTCACAAATGTCTTGCATTAACGTCATTAGATGATCTAAATCAGGCAGAACTTAAAAAGATTAAACATTGAAAATAAGTCTTTAATATAAAATCAACTATTCCAGTTTTTAAGGTGCAGCTTTATAAACATTCTGTTTAATGGCATTAATTAATGTAATTAAAATTGTGCATATATATTTGTTCACCTAGAAGGATTTGTGTTTATTAATGATTCCCTTTT